CGCAATGTCCTGCCATGGGCACAAGGTGATGGGCACAGAGGGAGCCTCGCCGCCTTCTCTCCATTGCAAACATCAGCCCTCACGTAGCAAGACAAGGGAGTTGGAAGGGATAAACCTTGCCAGAGGGGCCACCTCAAAGCCCTCCTCCAGAGGGGACCAAGCTAAGAGCCAGGGTCCCACCCAGAGAGGGGCTTCTGCCTGGGACAGTGCCAGGAAAGCACAGTTCATGGGGACCATTCCCATTGCTTGTGCCCATTGTCCTGTGGCCTCAGGGCTGTGTGTGCAGGGTGAGTCTGCACAGAGGCCAGGATGAGCCCTGGAAGTGGGAGGGTACTAAAAGCCATCAGAAGCTGTCATGGGGCTGGTGGAGTCCCTGTCATCAACGCTGGCTTTGGCACATCCACCCAGGCTCCTTCGGAATGACTGGCCAGGAGGAGGATGCAATTCCTGCCCTTCTGCAGGCATGAGTGTCTCCAGTCTGATTCAGTACCTGCCTCACCCCGCTGCCAGTGACAAGGGTGTCCCCAAGCCAGGATTCCCATCAGTGGCTTGGAGACCTGGCCTGGAGTCACTGTAGGTGCAGTGGGTGTGGGCAGTGAACAGATGCGGGAGCTGCTGTTTGCCTGCCGTCAGCATGGGAAAGTATGTGTGCAACTCCCTGCCTGCTCTGCCGGGCGCAGTGAGGGGAGAGGAATGAGCAGACAGGGTGTGATTGTATTTCCACACTGATGGAATGAGACACGAGGAGATGCAAGAGCTGCCTGCTATCTGGAAGACAGACACTGACAAAACAACGTGGGAAACTCCGAAGGTTGGAGTTGGCTGTGGAGATAGAGCTGAAGTAATTCATGATAGCTTGGGAGTCTGGCTCTGCTCAGACACAAAAGATACTCATAGAATCCCAGACTGGTTTGTGTTTGAAGGGATGCTTAAAGCTCATCCAGTCCCAACCCTTGCCACGGGCAAGGACCCCTTCCACTGGAGCAGCTTGCTCCAAGCCCCTGTGTCCAACCTGGCCTTGAGCACTGCCAGGGATGGGGCAGCCACAGCTCCTCTGGGCACCCTGTGCCAGCGCCTCAGCACCCTCACAGGGAAGAGCTTCTGCCTAAGAGCTCAGCTCAGTCTCCCATCTTCGGTCTGGAATACTGATGCTTGCTGGAATGGGTTCCTCATTAGAGCCAGGCTTTGGAGACAAGACTGGGATTGAAAACTGTTCAGTGTCTGTTGGTAGAAGTGCAGCAGAAAGCAGTGCTCAGAGAGCTGCCAGCACTGCAGGAGGTCACAGCTCCTGGGTGGCTGCGAGGATGAGTAACTGCAGCTGGTCCAGGGGAAAGAGCTTGAAGGATCTGTTTAAAGACTCTCTAGTGCCAGGCAGGTCTGTGATCCCCGCAGCAGAGCAGAGACAGCCACACCGCTCTGCACTGCCCAGCCATGGCTGAGCCGCTCCCATGGCCAAGTGAACCGGCTGCACTCGCAGCTGATTCACTGGGAATCACTCCCGTAAGGGGAGCTCCTTGGCACACCTTGTGCTGAAACGGGCAGAGCGGGTCCCAGGCCGCGGGGCAGGTCTGAGCTCCAGCAAGGTGCTGATGGAGGTGGTGGCTTGCAAAGCACCAGCTCACACAGGGCCAGGCCTCTGCCTGATGCTCTGCAAACAGGTTGAGGCTTGGGCCATCATGGAAGAAGCATCACCCTCGTCCATATTCACCAAGAGGAAGTTAAGGTTAGATGTAAGGAAGAAGTTCTTTACTGTGAGGGTGGTGAGGCACTGGAACAGGCTGCCCAAAGAAGTGGCAAATGCTCCATCCCTGGCAGTGTTCAAGGCCAGGTTGGACAGAGCCTTGGGTGACATGTGTGAGACACCCCTGCCCATGGCACGGGGTTGGAACTGGATGATCCAACCCAAACCATTCTATGATTCTAAGAGGAGAAAAGGGCTTGTTGAGGACCCAGCATGGCCCTGACCCAGCACTGCCAATGGAGGCTGCCTGCCAGGTCCCACAGGAAGAGCGGGGTCTGGCTTTGCCATTGCAGGACCCAGTTTGAGCCCAGAGAAGGATAAATGAGTCCCTCCCCTTCTCTCCAAGCAGCCCTTCAGCCTCCTGCTCTGTCACTGCCTCCCCCTTGTACAGCTGAAGGCCGTGCTGCCTGTCTCCTGCACCCTGCAGGCATCCCAGTGGGCAGGAGGGGTCAGATGGGGTGAGCATCGCCCATCACCCTGCCTTTGGGCCCAGCTGTGGCTGCGCTCACTGAGCTCCTGAGCCTGCCCCACGGGAGTTTCCATTGCATACACACCATGGAGTTTCCTTTCATGGTAAGAGATCTAGGATTGCTTTCCTCCAGATACAGGGGGGTCTGTCAGGACACGTCCTAGCAGATGATAATCAGCAGCTGAGATAGAAGCAAAGACAGCATATTTCACTCCACACCTTGATATATTTGTTACCCATTTTGGTGTTGTTCAAACCTTCAGAGCGAGCCTGTCAGCAGGGGTAAAGCCCGTGCCTCACATTCCTTACAGGCAGGAGACATCTCTCCCAGGGTTGCATCCTTCAGCTGGTTTCTGCTGAGCTGTGAACTGCTTTAGGAGGCACTGGCGAGAAGCTGGCCCACAGGGAAACCCAGTGATTTCTAATTAGCTCCTATTCATGACATTAAAGCACAATTAAGTGCTATTGTTTGAGGGAAATGCACCACGCTGGCCTGGCCTTTTCTCACCACCCTCACCACAAGGGGTTACTGCGGGTGCTGCCTGTCCACTCCTAACGTATAATTTCATTCACTTCCCTTGCTAGACGCGTTCAGCTTTTTCTTTCCCCCTGCAGCACAGCAGAGGCAGAGATAGCATCTACGGCATGCTTCTCGTTGGAACAGCCTCTGATACCATCTCCTGAGCATTATGATGCGTTTTGTTGGGGTTTTTAATATTTATCTCAAGGGAATTTATTGCGGGTGAGTGTTTCAGCAGAGCCTGGGAGACTGAATTCTTCTGGTAACATAAAATAGATGAAGTGAGGCACGTTCCTCTGTAGAATCCTGCCCTGTCGAGCCAGCGCAAGGGGAACTCTGCTGAGGGTTTCTCACTTCAGAGCAGGGCAGCAGCTGACCAGCAAGAACATCCATTGGGAAAGACCAGAAAAAGCTGATACTGCAGGACAACCTCCAGATCTCCTCTTAGGCTCCTGTGCCAGCTGTAATAAGAGAGCTCAAATGTGGGCTGAGGTTGTGAGAATACAGAGAGAAAAGCCCTAAATCCAGGTATTCCCTGCCTGTGGGCCTGTGGCAGGGCTTTGCCTCATTTCAGGGCAGTTGTCACCTTCAGGCTGTCTTTAACTTGGCCTAAAACATGGGGGCAACCTCAGCAGGACAGAGCTCACAGCAGCTTCTGGTCCACAGGAGGGGCTCACAGCCAACATGGGAACTGCCTGGAGGAGGTCTGCTGGAGCAAACATGAGCAAAGCAAGCACGTCTGGGAGAGCCTGGAGCAGGGGTGGCCAAGGGATGGCTCCTGAGCAGAGCTCCCACATGGCGGCTGTTGGGCAATGCTGTACCCCCCACCACGGAGGGCAGCGGGCCAGGTTGCCCCAGGACTGTGCTGGAAGCCTGGCACAGGCAGCTGCAGGCTCTGCCCTTTGCCAGCAGTGGGGTGCTCGACATCCCCCCCTTTCCCCAGCTCCCTGAGGGATGGGGCACGTGCACATCCCAAATCCCAAGAGCTTGCAGCTTGCAGGGGGTCAAGAATCCAAATCCGAAGTCAACAGGGTCTGGGGCAGCGCTGCCCAGAGCCTAGAGAACTCCACTCAGAGGTCTCTTTCTGGTTAAGCTTCCTCCTTGGTGGCCACCCAGAAAGATCACACCACCCCTCCTGGAGCTGCTAAAGGAAGAGAACGTGACTCCCTATTAAGTCCTTGAGATCTAACAGTGATGTAGATAAAGCGTTGTTGTTATTGTGTCCTTCAGGGAACAGATGAAAGCAGGGAGGCACTATCAATTACCAAGGGTGAGGCTCTGGGAACATCTTAGCAACTCCAAAGCCAGTTAAGTGCATCAGAATGTGAAAACAGCCAGAAGGGCCCCGGGAAGGAAGGAGATCACAACAGGAGAGTGAACACAAAAGGCTTCCTAATCCCTCTAACTCTTTCACTACCTCAGAGGCACCTCTGCTAAAAGAAAACATAACTCCTCTTATCCGGGGATGACATGGCTGGAGCCAGGCAGGCCGGGCTGGGCGTGCGCTTCCCACTGAGCACTTCAGCAGTAAAGGGATTGGTTTTTCCCAACAAAGAACACAACAGAGCAGTGTCTCCTTTCCTGGTTTCTGTTACCTTTTTCACGCTAATACCTGTCCGGCTGCATCACTCTAATCACTGTGCTCAATCCCTTAATAGCCCAATCCAGGCGTGGCTATGGGGTGGCTGCACTGCCTAATTCTGCACATATCCTCTGCATTGTCCCGTTTAAACTCTGCTTTGCAGGTGCCCACAGTGCTCTAACCCCTCACTACTCCATGTCTTGCAATATGTCCCCAACATAAGAAGGACATGGAGGTGTTGGAGCAAGTCCAGAGGAGGCCAAGAGGATGCTCAGGGGCTGGAGCGGCTCCCGTATGGAGCCAGGCTGAGAACATTGGGGCTGTTCAGGCTGGAGGGGAGAAGCTGCGTGGAGACCTCAGAGCAGCTTCCAGTATCTGAAGGGGGCTACAAGGATGCTGGAGAGGGGCTCTTCATTAGGGACTGCAGTGATAGGACAAGGGGTGATGGGTTCAGACTGAAACAGGGGAAGTTCAGGTTGGAGACAAGGCAGAAGCTCTTCCCTGTGAGGGTGCTGAGGCGCTGGCACAGGGTGCCCAGAGAAGCTGTGGCTGCCCCATCCCTGGCAGTGCTCAAGGCCAGGTTGGACGCAGGGACTTGGAGCAAGCTGCTCCAGTGGAAGGTGTCCCTGCCTGTGGCAGGGGTTGGAACTGGGTGAGCTTTAGGGTCCCTTCCAACCCAAACTGTTCTATGATTCTAAGTCATCAGCTGCTGCAGTGGAGCTCCCGGGATGTGATGCAGCAAAGCAAATACTGGGAAACATCAGGCACCTGCCTTTTAAACTGAGTGAAAGCCCCGGTTGTGGGGACTTTCCAGTCTCTGTATAGAGATTCACCCCAGACAAGTATGCAAGCAGAAATTACTCAAGTTTCTTTTCTTTTGAGCTACAAGATTTCTGCCAAAGGTGGTATCAGAGCATAAATAGCACCAGGTCTGTGCTTGCCCTGGGATAGAGGTCCTGATGGAAAAACTTCCATGTGGCTTTACACTGGCCCATATAAAGATTATGGCTATGCCGAGCTCTTAAGTCAGCAGCTTTCATTGCCTTTAGACTCCTTAAGAGCAAACAATAGATTTGTAGAGTTTTAACTATATAAGGCACTCGCAGGCGACTTGGCATGAGAGGATTCACTTGTGTTACTGCACGGAGGAGCAGTGGGGTGGAGCTGGAGCGAGCACCTCTGCGTCTCAGGTGCAACAGCGGAACGCTAAAACATAGCCATGAGCGAGGAGCCTTGGGTCTGAGTCACGCCGGGTGCTGGGAACCCCAGCGGAAGGAGCGGATCCTCCGTATGCCTGGTGCTTCTCGTGGGATGTGACAAAAGACGTGAAATCAGGGAGAGAGAAATGATGATTCTGGGATTTGGCTCTGGCTGTCACGGGTGACGAAAAGCACCGGCAACGCCTCCTGCCCGGGCTATAAAGGGCTCCAGGCCAGGGGGGAGCCAGCACTCGCTGCCTGCGCTGCCGAGCCTCTGCCTCTCTGCAGCCCTCCAGCCTCCACCAGCCTTCGCCATGAGCACCACTGTCCGGCAGTACTCCTCCTCCGTGTCCCTCAAGGGGCCCGGGGGCCTGGGGGGGGGCTCCACCAGGCTCTCCTCTGTGCGGGGGAGCACCGGCGGCTACAGAGCCCCCAGCGTCCATGGAGGCTCTAGCAGCTACTCTGTCTCCTCCCGCATGGTCTCAGGCTTCGGGGGTGGCTATGGGGGCAGCTACTGCAGCAGCGTAGGAGGGGGCCTCGGCGCTGGCTTTGGGGGCAGCTATGGGGCTGGCTTTGGGGCTGGCCTTGGAGCCGGCTTTGGAGCTGGCTTTGGAGGGGGCTTTGGAGGCGGTGATGGCATCCTCCAGGCTGGCGAGAAGGAGACGATGCAGAACCTCAACGACCGCCTGGCTGTCTACCTGGACAAAGTGCGTGCCCTGGAGGAGGCCAACACTGACCTGGAGGTCAAGATCAGGGAATGGTACAAGAAACAGGCGCCTGGTCCCGAGCGTGACTACAGCCCCTACTACAGGACCATCGAGGAGCTCAGGAACAAGGTAGGATGCTGTGATTAACACAGTGGGATGCCTGTTATCAGGGAGGAAGCAGGAACACCGACTCCTACCTGTGTAATTAGAAGCACTAACTAGGTCATAAAAAGTGTCTGAGATGCACATGCAGATTGCCAGGCTGGAGGTTCAGAGATGTCTCCATGTCAGCTTTTGATTACATCCCTCAGGATGGAACAAACAGCAGTTTTCACTGGAAGAAGCAGACGTAAAGGGACGTAATGCAGAAGTGAAGAATAAGAGACGAGTCTGCATTGACAATGATTGGTTTGAGGCAGTTAAAGTGAATGTTCAGGGCAAGCTGTAGGTGTGGGCAGACTGTGAAACATTGATGTCATATTGGGAAACATTCATCAAAGCATTTGCAAACTTGCTTTAGCTCGTTAGTACTGAGGTAATTTAGATGCTAAAGAAAAAAAGACCTGACCCATAATGAACTTGTTGCCTCTTTTTGGTAGCCCCTGCCCCAGGACCAGGCTTGATGCAAACCCATCCACCCAGGCAGCCCTGGAGGGATTCCTCTTGGATCCCACCACCCCATTTGGGAAAATACTCTAGAGTTGACTTTGTTCTTCTCTGTTAGAGCTCATGCATGAATTGTCCCCAGTAAACATGAAGGAGGGCAATGTACAGCTTGAGCTGCAGGAGTGCTGGCAAAAGGTGCAGGGAATCCATTTTCCTTCCCTCTCCTTTGCTCCATAACCAACGACCTCCCAGACTGAATCTTCTCCCAGGGTGGATTAGTTGCTCCTGGCTTCGAAATACAAAACCTCAGAAGAGGTAGGCACTTCCTCACTGCCTTGTTCTCCATTTCTGCAGTCAACAAGTCAGAACCACCCCAGACCAGGACAGGTTGGACACAGGGGCTTGGAGCAAGCTGCTCTAGTGGAAGGTGTCCCTGCCTGTGGCAGGGGGTTGGAACTGGATGGGCTCTAAGGTCCTTTCCAACCCAACCCATTCCATGCTCCTATGATGCTGTGAAACACCCTGCTGGTTCATCTGTCCTGCCTGCTGTGCATGAGGAGTAGGTGGCTCTTCCTTGACCCTTTGCATCATCAGCACCCACATGGGAACAAAAGCCATCATCAGATCTCACCCACCTTACGTGCCTTCATGCTGTCTTTTGAAATACTTCCTGACAGATTCTTGGGAAGAGGTCCCAGAGCAACCAGCCCCTTCCTGCAGCCAGGCTCACCTGTGCCTCACTTGCCCTGATTCAATACACACTTCGGCTCAGGAAACTATTCCTCTCCTGATGGTCTCACTTGTGCTCCCTCTCTTGCTAAGCCAGGAGAAGCTCCTGACACTCATTACTGCTTGTTCTTTGTTCTCCACCCTCCAGGTCCTGGTGGCCACAGTGGACAATGCTAACCTGCTCCTGCAGATTGACAACGCCAGGCTGACAGCTGATGACTTCAGGACCAAGTAAGCCACTTTTGCTGGAAAAATGGAACAAAGTCTCCATAGGCATTTGATGAAATGAGGAGAAAATCCCGTCCAACCCCCCCAGAAGGGAATATGGAAACAAAGCCTTCAAAATGAAGGTGTCATTTCCAAAGCAGATGGTTATCTAACACTTACAGGCCCTTAGGGATTGTTTTGTTTCCATCCAAAACTTCACTGAATGGAAACTTTTATTCCCACTGCTTGTTCCTCTGTGGTACAGTCTCTCCTGTGCACAGAACATGGACTATGCTTCTGCTGAGCACTTAACTGTGCGTGCAAAGCCCAGTCCCAGTAACCAAGCCCACTGACACCAGGAGCAAGGTGATGTTATAGGCTCAGATGGACACTGGTTTATCAGTTGCTCGCTAGCATGCACCATCAGAAGGGTGTCCAGGGGTCAGCTATATCGCCATGATGCCAGCAGCAGCATGGAGGAAGTGAACAACAAACCCAAGTGCTCTGTCCCCAGCTGGGCAAGATCCTCTGCAGCTCCTCTGATTGTTCCTGTCCCCGCAGGTTTGAGACGGAGCAGGCTCTGCGCCTGAGTGTGGAGGCCGACATCAACGGCCTGCGCAGGGTCCTGGATGAGCTGACCCTGGCCAGGGCAGACCTGGAGATGCAGATTGAGAACCTGAAGGAGGAGCTGGCCTACCTCAAGAAGAACCACGAGGAGGTGAGCACAGAGCCCAGCTCAGAAAATTCCTCCCTGAGCCCAGAAATACAAGGTCTGGTTCAACCTTTAAGAGTATCCTGAGTTTGGAATTGCTGGGAGGGAAATGAGAAGTGCTGGTAAAGAAGTAGGGATGATTTATAGAATCATAGAATCATAGAATAGTTCGTGTTGGAAAGGACCTTAAGATCATCAAGTTCCAACCCCCCTGCCATGGGCAGGGACACCTCGCTCTAAACCATATTACCCAAGGCCTCGTCCAACCTAGCCTTGAACACTGCCAGGGACGGAGCATTCACAACCTCCCTGGACAACCTATTCCAGTGCCTCACTACCCTAACGGGAAAGAATTTCCTCCTTATATCCAATCTAAACTTCCCCTGTTCAAGTTTTAACCCATTTGCTCTGGCTAACAGCTTCCTCTCCATACCCTGTATAAAATCCATCCAGCACTTGTCATTTCAGGAATGTCCACTGTAGCTGTCAGAGATGTATTAAAATCCTAGCAGCTTCAGGCCTGGAACATCTGTCTTCTGAGAAATGAAGCCAGCTCCAGGCTCTGATTTATTATCTAACAAATTAACTCAAGTGGAGATTTATTAAAAATTTGGATTCTTTGATTTCTGACTGTGGAGCAAAGGCCCCATATCACTCCCTGTTGATCTGCCTCTGAAACACCCATACAAGGATGCTACCCTTCCTGGAGAACTCTGTCTTGAGATGAACATCTTTATATGCTGGTGGCTGGGTTGCATGACGATGTGTTTCTCTTTTGTGCCAGGAGATGAATGCCCTGCGCGGGCAGGTGGGCGGTGAGATCAGTGTGGAGATGGACGCTGCCCCTGGAATCGACCTCACCAAGATCCTGGCTGAGATGCGGGAGCAGTACGAGAGCCTGGCGGACAAGAACCGCCGCGATGCTGAGCAGTGGTTCTTCAGCAAGGTGAGCTGCTCGACACCGGGGCTGTGGGGCCGGGGCTGCACCAGTCACCGGTGCTCTAACGGCACGGCTCTGGTTGTGCCTTGGTGCAGACGGAAGAGCTGAACCGGGAGGTGGCCATCAACACGGAGCAGCTTCAGAGTGGCAAGACAGAGATCACGGAGCTGCGCCGCACCATCCAGAGCCTGGAGATCGACCTGCAGTCCCAGCTCAGCACGGTACGAGGGGCCAGGGGCACATGGGGCTGTGGGCAAGGGGACACATGGCTGCTCCCATCCCTCCCGCTCCCCATTCCCCCCTGAACCCGTCCCTCTGCTCCACATGCAGAAAGCGGCACTGGAGAGCACCTTGGCTGACACAGAAGCCCGCTACGGCACCCAGCTGGCCCAGCTCCAGGGGCTCATCACCAGTGTGGAGGAGCAGCTGGCTGAGCTGCGGTGCGACATGGAGCGCCAGAACCAGGAGTACAGGGTCCTGCTGGACGTCAAGTGCCGCCTGGAGCAGGAGATCGCCACGTACCGCCGGCTGCTGGAGGGCGAGGATGCCCAGTACGTAGAAGGGCTTTGCTTGGGAGGGCGGGAGATGGGGATTAGCAAAGGAAATAGAAAACGAACCACCTGCATTCCCTGGAGGATCCTGTGAGCCCCTCTCCTGATACGTGGCGTGCAGCAGGGTCTCCCTTTTTGGTCATACCAGTCTAGAACAGCCCAGGGATTATCACAGCGCTGCAGCATCCCTGGGATCCATCCCCGTCCCTCCAGTGTCTGTCTGATCCTGGGGAAGGAGCAGGTACCAGTGCTGCTCATTGCAGCTGCCCTTGTGTCTGAGTCACTGTGGCACACACATTTCCTTCCCGTTTCCTTCCTTACCACTTTGACACCAGGCCCTTCTCAGAGGCATTTTAATCACATGCTGGTACAAGAAGAAAAGGTGGGGGGTTAAATAATGATTTTGTCTTAGAGATTACTGAGTTTTTCCCCTTTTTCTGACCATTCTTTCTCTTTTCTCCTCCTGTAGCATGTCTTCCCACTTGAAAGAAGGTAAGAACATGTCTTGGCTGAAGCACTGACCACAAAGAGCTCTGTCACATCCTTAGTGACCTTCTTAGCACAGTCTTTTTACTAATTTGCTAAAATCACTGTTTCATTACATTTTCAAAATGTGAATTGACATAAACCACTGATGATTTACCAAAACATGTTTCAGAAGTTCCTCTGTGCAGACTGGAACTATGTAATGAAGCATGTAGGGGCAGGAACATGGTGGTGATGTTGGGATTCTGAGGCAGTCGTTGGTAATAACATGGAGATCTTTAAGACGCTTTCTCCTTGGATCCCTGTAAGTAACGGTTCCCTCCTTCTCCACTGCAGTGCCGGTCACCACCCGCCAGATCCGCACAATCTTTGAGGAAGTCCAGGATGGGAAGGTGATCTCCTCCCGCGAGCAGATCACCCAGGCAGCCCACTGAGGCAGCTGCAGGCTCGCTGCAGACCTCGCTCAGCAAAGCCAAAGGAGATTCCAGCTTCTGTGCTCCGGCTCTGAGATCACAAAAAGCAGCTTCTCTTTTCTCACATCCACTGCCCTCCCCCTTTCTCACAGCGCTTAGGAATCAAATAAAGCTTTTCTGTGCAAACCTGGCTCTTGTCTTGGTGCTCTGAAGAGCTGGGCTGTCCCACTGCTGGAGCTATAGGACAAAGCTCCTCTCTGGAGAGAGGAATATTGTCTGTCTCTGGTACCCAGACTGTGGGGCTAGGTCACCTACACTGCTATCATACCAGAGCCCTGGCTGCTCAGCAAAGACAGCTGATGTGGTGGAAGTCTAGAAAGGAACTGATTACATGGGTCATGGGAGGTGGAACTTTGACGGTCTGTGGGTACCCTCAGATGTGGCACGATGACTTTCAGGTTGGGCAAAGTGCCCCTTCCCCGGTTGCAGTGGATGGTAACAGCAGAGCTGAAGCTTTGAACTTAAAGAGTCCAAGCAAGGTGAACAAAACCCAGGTCACACAGACAGGACCCTGCCAAGGATTCCCTTTCCTGCTCTGCTCGGCAGTTCCTGTGTTAAACAGCTTTGGGGTAACATGAATTCAGCAGAGGAGGTGGCAGGATGTGCTGGCTGATACCCCTCCAAAAGTACAACCTCAGCTCAGTTTAATTCTCACTTCCAAAGGCATTGCTAAAGGGTGAGGAAACGAGTGCTGGTGAGTGCTGGGTATGGTCTATCCAAGCAAAGAGATGGGAAGTCTCCCAGGCTGCTGGAGCTGGCCCTGGCACAGCAGCTCACGCTGCCGTCAGCCGGCCCAGCAGTTCCTTGAAAGCCAGTTCAGACACATTCCTGGCTGGATTCCACCCCAGTTATTACTTCATAAATCCAGCTCCTAAATCAATGGGATGATTCAGGGAAACACCACTGCATGTGCACAAGAACAGAGCTGGCCACAGCACTTTAAGAGCCATGTCCAGATAATCTGCTTGAATTTTATGGGCTGATAACAGAGAATTCTTTGGGGGGGGTTAAACACTGAAAGGCTCCCTGCAATGCATCACCCACAGCACGAGCTGGGGCAGCCCAGTGCATGGGCTTGAGCTCTGTGCAGTGTCAGTGGTGGCTGTATTCCCCTGTGCATTAAGAACTGATCCCCAATGATCCTCAACCACCCCAGACCAAACCACCTCTAAGCACTGCACCCTCGACTTGTGGTAAACACAGCTTTGGTTCTGGAGCTTACCACTGAGCAGCAGTGATCTCGCTTCCACCCACATTCCACCAAAGGACATGTAAACACGGCCCAGTGGTCAGAACGGCTCCCACTGCTCGCCTGCTGCACACCCTCATGGTGCAGCCTGGACAGGCCATGAGTAAATACCAGGCACAATTCCTGACCCGAGGCACTTCCAGGCACAGCGTCCCTGCAGTGCTATAGACTGTGCTGTCTCTGCTCCCAGCCCTTGAAGGAGGGAGCCCTGCACATCCCAGAGTCTCTCCCCAGGCTCCAGTGTGGAGCAGCCCAAGCTGAGATGCGTGGGAAGGGCAAGGACAGACTCAGCCGGGGCTCCCCAGGTCACCTCGTAGGGACCCACTGTTCTCCCCATGCAGGAGACCATCAGCATTTCTTGCAGCTCCTCTCCAACAGCCACTTTTGCAACACCCACCGTGGGGATGCTAAAGGTACCCTGCTGGAATTCTTCCTCCATGGCTTTCTCCCAGAAAAGTCCAGGCACACCGGTGTTGCTATAGAACCAACTAAGGCTTTGCTAACAAAATCCCGTTTTAATTACTTTTGGTACTGCAAAGGGGAGTCAGGTGTGGAAAATGCATCTTGATTCTTTCCTGCCTTAAGCATTAATAATTAGGCCTGTCTTTAAGAAGCTGCTGAGGAGGGAGCTGCGGGTGTTGGCTTATGCAGACAGGCAGCTGCAGCTTGAGGCAGGCTTCAGAAATGGTATTTTATTCCAGAAAGATGGTTTGACTCTCAGGCTGCACTGAGATAATCTGACATAAAAGACCAGCAGAAAGAAGCACTAAGGCGTGATTGTTCTGGGGAACCTTCCTATGATAATGTGATACCAGGGCACATTTTATAAGATCATTAAAACAAGCAGAGAGATATTTTTGTCTGGGGAGTTTCATCTATCAGATCTACTGATACGTATGTTTGGAGCCAGCTTCACCTCCACTTTCCTCTTGAAGTAAGACAGAATTGCATGTTCAACCACCAATGTGCTACCATGAAATCACTGTTATGCCACAGCACTGCCATTCTGATTTTGAAATGTATAAAGAAAAGGCTCAGAGTGTGCATGTACTCACGAAACAGAGGCAGAATCTGAGTTAATAGTCAGCCTTTTACTTAAAAGAGAGTGTGCTACCAACAACATGCAGTCATTTGTGGTTGTCTTCAATGGGAGGTCATGGAAATCATGTCTTAGAATTTTTCATGTGGTTTTAAGTCTTAATTAACACTTCATGACTTTAATTGCTGCCTTGTGGTATTATCAACATAGTGCAGATATTTTGAGCAATGTGTATTTTTATGACACAGCAGTTAAATAGGAAACAAAAGATAAAAGAAAAGGCAATTTCATGTAAAGGATGAATATAGAATCATAGAATTATAGAATCCCAGCCTGGTGTGGGTTGGAAAGGGCCTCAAAGCTCACCCAGCTCCAACCCCTGCCACGGGCAGGGACCCCTTCCACTGGAGCAGCTTGCTCCAAGCCCCTGTGTCCAACCTGGCCTTGAGCACTGCCAGGGATGGGGCAGCCACAGCTTCTCTGGGCACCCTGTGCCAGCGCCTCAGCACCCTCACAGGGAAGAGCTTCTGCCTAAGAGCTCAGCTCAGTCTCCCCTCGGGCAGGTTCAAGCCATTCCCCTTGGCCTGTCCCTACTGTTAACCTTGTGCATTGTGACAGTTACTCTTCCTATAGATGACCAGTGGGAAGACGATCGCTCCTGCTGGCTGGCGGGTCCGAAAGCCCTTGCCCACGTCAAGGTCTGGGCTTCACGAGGGCTCTGTTTTGGTTTTGTCACTGACATTCCCCTTTCTCCGTGCCACTGAAACACTATGCCAGAACCACCCACAAGTTCTGCCCCTCTGCATCACCCAGGTGAAGGTGAGGAAATGCAGACAGGGGAACGTGTGCTCCTTGGAGCCGCTGTGCCCTTCCCATCAGCACTGGGAGGACGAACAAGGAGTGGGTGCCCGCAGGCTCCGCACCCCATCCCCTCGCACTCATGTGACAAGAAGATGCCGTTGCCAAGAGACTGAACCCATCCTCTGGCCAGAGCAAACAGCCGAGATTCCAGCTCTCCAAGCTGTACAGACTTGTCTCTGTTCATGGCCAACTCCTGATATTCCCAGGACTCCTCTATCGTTTCCAGCTTTATTCAGATAAAGTGGAGGGAGTCATGCCCTTTAAAGCTACTTAGAAATGTACCTTTGCTGCTTATTTCCATGTTCTTTCCCCCCTCCTTTGGCAAATGATCTAAGGCAGAACTTGGCTGTTGGGAAGGGGCTGTTGGGGCCTGTCTGTGAAGACAGTCAAACGATTCACCATGTACACACTTGAGAAATATCTTCTCCTCCACACCCTGCATTACTAGCTAGTGACACTTGAGATGCGGTTTCTGCCCATGACGCAGGTCAGTGCAGACAGTAGCCAGAGGAGCTTGACCATGCTGTGTGCACTCATTCTTTGAGCCGTTTTGCTCCTCAGAGGCAACCGGTGCCTCTCCTTGCAGCTCTATTTACATGGGAGATGAAAAATCCAGACTCACACTGAAGTTTGTCCTGCCTGGTCACAACTGAAATGTTCATCCCAGAAAGTATCAGCATTAGCTGCTAAGCTTTGTCACTGTCAACTCTGTGCTCTTATTCACCGTGCTTAGAGAGCAGGAGCTTTGTTCTTTACATCCTTTATCTAATTCTATTCCATGTTATTTCCTGGAGCATCTCACAGGTTTTAACTCATGCCAGCCAGTAGCCATACCCTGCCTTCCTGAATGGTCTGCTGGGCTCTCATTCACAAAGAACAACACAAAACATCCACTGCCTATTGCCTTTTCATATTCCTCCACTCTTGGGTGGTCTCTGAAGCAAACCAAAGAAATGGATGAGCCCTGAAGCACAAACTCCCTTTTCATTGCTTTTTCATTACAGAACATCCCTCTCCCTGTGGATAAAAGAGGGGACAGGTCTTTCCAAGATTGGTAGCCAAGTTCCTTCTAGCACTGCTGTACTCACAGGACAGTGATGTACATTGAGGGCTTCATGACACAGTGGTTGTCCCTGCATGTGTGCTGTGCACAAAGCCTAAATAGAGACAGGAACTGTAGTAGCTTGGACAAAAAGACACAGTAAAAGGTGCTAAATTACGCTATTAAAGCACTGCCTCAGTAGCTGTTTCAGAGCTAACAGTACAAAGCAGTATTAAAATGTAGCCCTGAGCAAGGAGCCTCCTCCTTTGAATCACACCTGAGTATTTACTTGGAAACGGAAGAAGCATAAAGACGCCCTTTGTGAGATAAAACAGTTCTATTGGAATACGACAGAAAGCATCAACAGAACAAAGGCAAAAATGATGATTCTGGAAGTTGGCTCCGATTTTCGGAGTGATGAAAATCATCGGGAATGCAAGAAGAAAAAAAAGCGCGGGCAACGCCTCCTGCCCGGGCTATAAAGGGCTCCAGGCCAGGGGGGAGCCAGCACTCGCTGCCTGCGCTGCCGAGCCTCTGCCTCTCTGCAGCCCTCCAGCCTCCACCAGCCTTCGCCATGAGCACCACTGTCCGGCAGTACTCCTCCTCCGTGTCCCTCAAGGGGCCCGGGGGCCTGGGGGGGGGCTCCACCAGGCTCTCCTCTGTGCGGGGGAGCACCGGCGGCTACAGAGCCCCCAGCGTCCACGGAGGCTCTAGCAGCTACTCTGTCTCCTCCCGCATGGTCTCAGGCTTCGGGGGTGGCTATGGGGGCAGCTACTGCAGCAGCGTAGGAGGGGGCCTCGGCGCTGGCTTTGGGGGCAGCTATGGGGCTGGCTTTGGGGCTGGCCTTGGAGCCGGCTTTGGAGCTGGCTTTGGAGGGGGCTTTGGAGGCGGTGATGGCATCCTCCAGGCTGGCGAGAAGGAGACGATGCAGAACCTC